TTTTTATTCAAATGGCTTAAAAAAATCTGAAAAAAATTAACTTTTGCTATTTAATTGGTGTCTGCATTTTGGGGACCCAGACCGAACTGACATGCCCAGGTTTTCAAGCGGGATCAGATCACTTGGCTCTGATATACCCAGCAAAACTTGTCATGCTTTTTTGGATATTACAACGAGAACCTCTTTTTCACATTTCTGCGTCCGTTGCTTCCACTGGATGTCTTAAGTTGAGGGTCTTCTGAAATATAATTTCTATTCCATTTACACTTATTTTTTCACCACAACCTGACTTGGTACACTGGAGGTGCATCGTCTCCATTAATATCCAACATTGTCTCATGGATCCATTCCTACATTAATGAGGAATTCAATCACTGATTTGTGCTGCAATGTATTCGAATCCATAATTCACCCGAACAATCTTAAACTGCTGCTGAGCTGGCATTTGGCATCACACTGAACTGAAGGTTTGGAGAAAATAATAACAAAATACTTTGCAACGTATCTACTTGCCAAGCTCCTATCTCTGTTACTCGGGTAGAGAACTTTGCTGGCATACCTCGTCTGTTAGAAACATGCCTTTTGGAGTATTTGGCTGCTATACCTTTCCATGTGATACGCTACTTCGTTGAGCTATCATTTCTGGCCAGGTTGCTTCTGAAAAAAAGCTGCATAGCTCAGTGGGTCTTACCTAATAACATAAAAAGTTGATAGTTTGTTTATACCTTACATGAGTTTATGTAGATATATGCTAAGGCCTCTGCTTTGGGAATATGTCCCTGAAAAACGTGACGTTAGGCGAAACAATGTCAATCTAAACCTAATTTACTATTGACTTAATGATATAAATGTAGCATACGTTCCTGGGGGTTATTTTTTTCATCAATTTGCAGAAAGCATATAAGTAACAAACAAAAACTAACAAGATACCCACGAAATAGTTTATTACAAGTTTATATAAATAATATCAGTTAATAGAGTCATCACCAGAGATGGCAGCGGAGATGTTGTAAACTGTGGCTTGAGCGGCCAATAGGGGGAGCCGTGGCGTTGTGTGATTGCGTTCTTTACTTTAAATGTTCAAAACAACGTTATTAATCAAATGCATTTTAAATCGATTTACGTCCCCCAATTCATTTGGGAACATTATTGTGAAACGGCTTATATAGGAGCAGCATACGTTGAGGACTTGGTGTACTGCATCATATTTGTTCTGAAAAAATAGTTGGTATTCCAGAAGTCCAAAATGTGCTGATAATTATATCTTTCCGTTTGCGATGCCTACCAGGCTAGAACAAAAACACTTACAATATCTCTTGTGTGATACAGTCCTATGCTATAGTTTTGAATTTATACAATGGCTGCTTTCTGCTGCATACATTTACTCTGGAACAGAAATTAGTTCTGACAAACAACCAGCTGACTTCTCTGCCAAGAGGAATCGGTCACCTCTGCAGCCTAACACACCTCATGGTTGGGGAAAACCAGCTCACCCATGTCCCAGAAGAAATAGGTAAGTCCATTTTTTTTATAATGGCAATATGTTAAGACAGCATCAGCTTTGAAAATGTAAGCATATTTACCCATAACTCATGTGTTGCCAAGAACAAACCAATACGTGTGGAAGTACAGTGCTAACACTGATGGAAACCAATGTACTGTTCGGTAAACTTTATTATAATACAGTACAAGCTGGATATAACCAATACATTTGTACTGTTGGGGGGGAAGGCAAAGGGCAACTTCAGATATAAGCACACTTTGGATATAAGCACACTTTGGATATAAGCACAGCAAGAATTGCTCCCAAGGGGGTGTGCTTATATCCAGCTTATACTGCAGTGGTAATAATGCCCTATATTTATCCAGGAAAGGCTGACCTGAGCCAATAAATTCAAGAGGGCCTTGGATTGTGATGTGACATCCATTCGAAAAAAAAAAACCGATGTGCTTGATATAAACCCAGAAAACCTCACCAAATCTCGGGCTATTTTTCAGGCGGTTACAAAATGAGTGGTTGGCTCAGCTGTGCATTCATCGGGCTTTCTCTGGCTTGCAGGAACACTGGAGAACCTGGAAGAGCTTTACCTGAATGACAACCCGAACCTGCACAACTTACCCTTTGAGTTGGCCCTTTGTTCAAAGCTGCTCATAATGAGTATTGAGAACTGCCCTCTGAGTCAGCTGCCTGGCCCCATTGTGAGCAGTGGACCTTCCTTCATAATACAATATCTGAAGATGCAGGGCCCTTACCGTGCTATGGTCTGAGTTTATCCCAACAAGACTGCAGTGATTCTAGAACGATTTACAGGGGACTAAAATATGCAAGTATAAGATCCGCTGTGATAAAAATTATAACCCGTTTACTTGTTTTTTGGATGTGGCCTGACAATTATATGCAGCTTACTTTTGAGACATAAATTTTACATTAATCTATAATACTGCTTTTTATTACACTACTATGTTTTACGAGTCATCTTAAGGTATATACAGTAATTTAATATCCGAAGTCAGTTGCTAAAATAAGTCAGTAACGTTTTGCACGTGTAAATGCATAACTTGACGGCAAGTGCTTCCAGATGCACCACAATATCAGCATCTTGACTGATTTTCAACCTCTCATTTATCAGTTCTTGCTTGACCTGTGAATTTCCTTAATTTTCTCCTTATTTCTGGCCTTCTGGTTAGAGGTTATCAAATTATTGGTGTATTTTGTTTCTATTATAATTACAATTTTTTTTTCAAAATTGTTTCTGCTCTTGACCATACTGTCTTGTTAAAACACAGTAATAGCTATTGATCATTTACACGGTTTTCACTTAAGCACTTCATATCATTTATCTTTGGAAAAACTATCATTTTGGCAGTACTGTACTAAATGCATCAAAGGTTCTAGAATTGTTTGCACCAGTGTAAATATGTGACATATCTTCTGCGTCTACTGTAATAAATGCATGACTGTTTAATCTGAAGTAGTATATAAATATTTTTTATGTAGCTTATAGTTTGCTAGACTAATAATAGCCATTATGGTAATGTAGAGGCGGAGTGATTAGTACTGTATTTTGCTTTTAAATTCAAACTGATAACTGTGGGGTGTCTGTAACATAGCGTGGACGTATTTCACTGGCAGATATTGGCTAAATGGAGCTGAAACCGAAACTTTGTATTCATGATTTAAACCACAGTAGCACCAATGGGCCGTTGTGCAAGTTAAAATTTGAGCATAAAAAATACAATAATACATTATAGGTGCTGGTGTTTGCGATACAGCATGTTTGTGTAATTCCTGCCCCAGTTACACTTGGATAAGGTTTTTTCTGCATCGTTATTACGTATTTGGTTGTATGGTTTTTGATCTTGTTTTTTAAGAATTGAAATCTGTAATCAATTTGACAGCTCTAAAAAGTGTAAATCTGTACATTATTACATTTGGTTATGCTTGTTTTGTGTTGATCTGTGCTCTGTTGGTTAGGTCTAAACACCTACTTTTTCATTTAGACATTGTGGTGTTCATTTGCCTTTTGTAAACAATTTCCAAAGATTTATTTTCTGCCTCTTCTAGCTAATTCTTATATTGGCCTTCTGTTGCAAAAAAAAAACATATATACTGTGTGCACAGGAGCAACGTTTTTGCATTTTTCATTATACCATTGGAGTTTTACAAATTGAATACCCTTAATTTTAATTATGAAGGTGTTCTACTGTATGTACTGTATGCATGTAATATAGGGTTTTCAAAATAATCAAATACAGTTAATTTAAACGTGTTCAGAATTTGAGACAAGCGTTCATTCTTAAAATGCCAAAATTTTGTGGTATGGCATGTTTTGCAGTGGCACCAAAGGTTTTACATTGCAATTTGGATCATGTATTGAAAATAATTGGGACTTTTTAAACATTGTAATCACTCTAAGTAGATAATGCAGCTGCTTGTCTTCGCCATGAGGTTTGTGCTTCGTAAATGTATGCCATTTGTAAAAAAAATGTTTAACGGATTTTTCTTGAATTACAAATGACCTGCTACAAGTGGTGATGCCATAAAGCTTAAGCATCTGAACAAATTGCTAAGCACACTTAGTAAAAACAAGTTTTGTGCATTTTGTAATTTTCAGTCGTATAAGTAACATTAAAAAATGTAAAACTTCGTGTTTTTATATTTTTATTGTATTTAAGTGAACCTGACTGCCACTTCAGTAGGTACAGCAGAACTCCAATACTCTGCGGTGATGTGGGATGGGACCTCACCTGTAAATGCGGCACTGAAAATTTCCATCAACGATAAATCGCAAATTTTAGCCACCCAGCTACAGTAATCCACAACAAAATATGAATATCAGGATAAACCACTCCAAAAATCGGTGAAAATAACAGCGGATAAGAGTTGCCATTTTTTCCCAAAAAACAAATGCGGTAGTCTTGTCTGCCATATGGGTCTAAATTGCAGAATTTTGCATGTCAATATTCAATCGTAAAAAAAAATACACCAGTACCCAGAAGATAATAGCAAAGCTGGTCTGTGCAACTCAACCATTTTTTTCCCTCTCCATTTGTCTCTACATGTTTCTCTAGATATCAGACACGTGTTTGAAACATTCGAGGACTTGTAGTTTCTAGGAATTTGTATCCATTCCCAGAAGAGACGCAAATATCCGAGTAAAATTTGAGGATTGTTGCCTTTTCAAATTCCTCGTCCGAGTTTACAAATCTCTCCATGGTCTGGCCTCAATGTATCTCGGTTCCTTTCGTTCTCCACTCACCCCCTCTGTGTTCACAATTCCAGCCGTCTGGTCCCCCTCCTGCCCAATCACGAGTCCGTTCTCTTGCTTCTCGCCCTCTGACACTGGAACAAACTGTCTGACAATCCACTTCACTGTCCATATTTCGTTCTTCTCTGAACTCACTTATTTTCCCCTGCTTACAGAAACTCCCCATCCCCATCATTAACGCCATCATTCCTCTTCCCAACTTCCCGACCCATTCATTACACTCGCTCATCATTAATCACTCGTCACTTTTATCATCGTTTATTTCACGCATCACTTCTGTACAAATAGCTAATTCCTTGTTCAGCGCCTTGGTCAAAGGCTGCAGATGGTAGCAAGTTTTATTAGTCACACATGACATGTGAAACATTTGAGAACAATCCAGTTGTAGTTATAAACTGCTTGATCAGAATTTACTGCAACAGTATATATTGTATTTTAATGGAGTACTGTTTGTAACATGCTCATTTGTGTAAATGTACAGTGCATCGTAGAGTAAGCAGAACCTCTAATATAAGTAATAAATTACAACCCTTTGCCAATCCAATGCTTAACACCTCCCCACCCCTTAAGGTCACGGAGGTTGTTTGACCAAACTTAGTCACGCTGGTCGGTGAAGGTGGGGGATCCAGGACTGGTTCAGATGCCACTGACCACTGATGTTAGCCATGGCCGGGAATCAACCTGGTCGCCGGGTTCATACCACAGTAAACTAATCACTACACTATTTTCTCATGCAAAAATATATACAGTATAAACAGATGCATGTATACATTAACAGCCCTTTAGCAATCCACTGCTGGATGAGCATCTCCCCACTAAACCCAGGATTGAAAAATATTCACAAATTTACAGGAAATTTTCATTTATTATATACACTTAAAATTCAGTATTTAAAAAAACTGCCACAGTAAAAAAAATGTCACGAGAGTAGAAGAGGAAAATCAGGAAGGGCCAGCAGTTCTTCAGCTTCTTCCCTCAACGCCTCAGCCTTCTCTGTCAGCAAGAGCTGGGAAAAAAAAAAAAACACAAACAGATGAGGCTTAGAATAAATATTTATACTGGAGGAATCCGATGAGCTATTAAGCTCTTTCACAACACATCAACTACACCCTTGGGTGAATTTAGCTATTTCTCATTTAACATTGCTTGGGGTAAACATTGAGCTCGTTGATAACGCGGTGAACATTACTGTGCACCGTCAACCTTGAGGGATTATGCAGATACTTCAGCAATGCCTATGACCAAACCACCTGGAATGTGCCCAGTCTTGTCAGGCCTGAGCCTGGATATCGATTGTATCGGTGGATGCAGGCATGTCTTAACATTAATGATTGCCTTGTATATTGCCTTCAATGTTTTTGGACTAGGTTTCTGCTTAATGTTCCATAAAACTTACATTCATACAATCGATTTGACTACTCGGGTAAGGTAAAATAAGTAGATTTAATAATCCAGTAGAAGGCACCCTTCTGTTAAAAGTACAGAGGTATACTGTCTGAATGGGTTTGAGTTCCTGAATCCAGGATATTGACGCTGGCCATACCTTCCATCGTACAGCATCGTGAAGAATAAACATGACATGAAATTTTCTCACTGACAACCAATTATGAAATAGAAAATTTTCAATTTACGTCAATGTTATGTATGCATATGCATGGATTCTGTAACACTGTCCAACACGCATTGTCCTTGAAAGTATTGGTGAAAACATTCCAAGCTGAACTAGCTGATGTCACAGTGCATGACGTGAAACATCACAAGATTATGGTGCACTAAGTCGCGTAACTTGACCTACAAGAATAATTGTTAACCCGTTTTTTCTCCAAGCTTTGGGCAACCCGTTGATAATTTGTACTGATTTTCTCCAGGTTAAGTTGTTTAAGAACAACATAATTATATGATTTTTAAAACATCTTTATTGGATCATCTTCATAAGAGTTATGATGTGCCTCTCCAGATGGACCACGCCAATACAAGAATGCTTTCAACCAGAGATGGAAAGCGTTTAGAGAAAAAAGAGCAATGGCATGGTTACCTTGGCAGAGAAAACAATCTGCTTGGCCTGCCTGTGTGGCAGGAACTCAATCTGTTGCACCAGATCCTTGGGGTCAGCATTGGCCAGCATTGCCAGGGACTTAAAGCCAGCTTTATACAGTTGCCGGGCTCTGGCCTTCAAGAAAAATAACATTTCAAAATCAGAATATTGTCACTGTATGAACATGTTGCTGTATAATTGATGTGGTGGCAGCATGTCCTTACCTCCTTCACACCAGCCACCTCCATGAGTGGAATCAATTCTGACTTGACACAGTAAGAGAGTTTTTGTGTGAGATCAGCAAACAGTAGTTGGTATGCCCAGAATTCGTCTAGTTCCTTCAGGGTAAAGACAAAGACTTCAGAAGGTCAGTTCACAATCATAACCAGATGAACACGATTAATATAAATGGGCTCTAAGATGCTACTGTGTCCAGTGAATCGGACATTACCTGGCAAAAATGCATGATGCAGGAGGCAAAGGCTGCTGCAGACCCCACCAGGTTTTGAATGAAGCCACGATTTTGGCCAAACTTGGAGGCAGCTTCCCACACTGATGTTTGTTTAAATAAAGCGTAGAGGACCAAAGCCAGGTAAAATCTGTTCACTACTCGCTCGTCCACTGTTTTCTGTAATACCCAAATGCAGAACAAACAATACCATGTTCCATATTACTTTCAAAATCATGACATGATTTTAAATTGTATGCTTTTCTTATACTTTTAAAACAGGTTATCGAACATGTTCATGCTCTACTTTAAACAATATGCGGCACTGTACAATAGCTTTTTGGCAGATATTACATCATTGACATTGTAAAGTAGGTACAGACAATAAGAAAATCTAAAACATTTACATCTTTGGCTCAACAAAGTTGGTACCTGTCTTGTGCCTTGTCCAGCCATTTTCCTGGCTATGAAGCCCTCCGGAACGCCAATGAAAGTGGCCACTTTCTGTTCCGTCACATCCAGCTGATTAAACTACAAAACAAAACATGTCTTAATAAAGTATTAAAGCTTTCGTGACTGCCAGGAAGTGTCTAACTGTGTTGTTGGCCTGACTGGATGTGCTTCACATAATGTTTTTTCAGGTTTGTTGAATTCTCGTCTCTCATCTTTTTGTTGTATTTACCTCCGTGATTTGTTCTTGACACCTGATGAAGATCGCTTGCGTTGTGATCGAAACGCCGTGATTGTTTTTTGTTTTAATATAATTTTATTGTATTTCTACATACGTGACTTTACCGAAAAAAACAATGAGTAAAACATGTCTTGTGCAATGTTTGTAACAAATTAACATTCATTAAGGATATCCTTCAATACAGTGAATGTAACATTTTCAAATGAAGAATAATCCATTTCAAATAATAGTGATAAATTAGCGAATTTTAAAGCTTCTACATGTTGCCCACCAATCTCAATACCCTTATAAAATCTTAAAGGAAGCTATCACTTTCACAACAATCAATCACCTGTTGAGAAGAACGACAGTCATTATAAATCAGTGGGCTATCTATAAATCAACTATTAAATAAAATAGTTATATATATATAGTTACATACATGATGTTCATATCGTGATGCAATGTGTCCACACCTGTCTCATGTACGTATTCCAGTCTGGTCTGCACTGAGAGACCATGTCGTACGGTGTCGCCAGGTAGATGAGGTGCAGGTAGTTATTCAGCACCAAGCCTTCAACGCCCGTTTTTAGATCTCGGTACAGCACGGTACAAAAAGCCAAATCAACGGATCCTGCGAAACAAACGTGACATTAAAACACTGCTTGCATGCATGTGTGCTTATGCATGAAGCCTACTTCAACATAACTTTTAAATTAAATGTCAGGCTTGCCTTAAAAGTGAGATTTATCTGAGCAAAAAACATCTACCTTGTAGTGACATGCTGAGGCTGTGGAACACAAGTGTGAAGTATATTCTTAGTTTTTTCGGTAAAGTCACGTTGAAGAGAAACAACAAAATAATAAAATATATATAAAACAAGTGTGAAGCTTTATCAGTGGCCAGGTGCTCAATAAAAATCATGACGACACACTTAATCCCCAATTTAAAGTGTTATTGTCTCAAAAATTTAGATTTCAAATTTGTTTTGGGACAGCCCAGGGCATATGGCCTATGTACATATCTACAAGCAAACTAGACACTTGTTTTTGGGGGGTGTATATTTATTCAACTCGTTCAAGAGCATGGCGACTGTGGAGATGGAGTGATGAGATCAGTTATGCGAGGGTCTGTGAGGTACCGTGAGGGATACTGGATCATCGGGAAGCATTCATCCAGCAGTGGATAAACAATGACCGATGGTAATACATTTATTTGTATTATCGTTGCATTCATATTTGTTCACAAGAGGTGTACTCCTATTCACTGTGAATCACAAGTATTGTTGCAATGCAAATGCAGGGCAGAAGGAATAGACTGAGGGTGAGATGGAATAGACTGAGGGTTAGATGGAAGGATGTGGTGAAACAAGATATGAGGGTAGTGCCTGTGACTATAAGAAAGTCACAGATAAGCATGTGGAGAGAAAAAATTCCAAGCAGCCCCACCCTAGTCAATAATGGGAACATTGGCCTAGAACAGGGGTGGGCAATTCTTTTGACTAGCGGGCCACAATGGGTTCTAAAATTTGACAGAGGGGCTGGGCCAGGGACAGATGGATGGAGTGTTTGTGTGAACTAATATAAATGACATGTAAAAATCATTACATGAAAGGATTTGGCCTTTAACAGGTAGCAAAGCATTTATTTGCAAGGCAATTTAACAAATTCCACGAAATAATAAAATATATATGTTTATATATATTTAATTATTTTGTTGTTTCCCTTCAACGTGACTTTACCGAAAAAACTAAGAATATGAATTACTGCAGTCACGAAAGCTTTAAATTTAAATTCCACGAACATGAACAATACAAAAACATGTCGTAACTCCTGGTCAAAGTGCGCCATCTAATGGGGAAATGGGGGCATTACAGGAGAAAGGTAAAATTTAATTTAATAATATTTGGACAGGTTCAGCGGGCCAGATTAAAAAGCTGAACGGGCTGTATACGGCCCGTACTTTGCCCATGTCTGGCCTAGAAGCTGAGAAGAAAATTACCCTTGTATGTGGCTTGACCAAGCTTGGTGATCTCCAGCATTTGCTCAGAGGGTGCAGCGGCCCCCTCGGACCTGCTGCAGAGCCTTACCAGGCCCAACTGCAGCAGCTGCTGCAGGCAGTGCCGGCCCAGCTCCCCGAGTTCCTTCATCCCGCCCTCCTGCTGCTGGACCCCAAACAGGGTGGTCTCCAAAAACCGATAGATAGCATCGATGTCCGTTGTGATCTGTTATCAGAAAAGTAAATGAGGGTTGTAATTCCAGTTTGTGAATGAATATTCGTTGCCGAGACATTGTAAGATCGTCAACAAGTAACGCAAATTATTATGCGAGTAGTGGTTCAGATTCATCAATTAAAATTAATCATTGCGCTCATTATACACATTTAATCATGCATGTAAGAATACATTATATATTTATTTGTGCTCTATTATTGGTTTATGTGAACCCTGCAGCCTCTATTGGCATTACTCACCACATGGTTAAAAAATATATATTCTTGAATTACTGCTCCAAAACGTGACAATGTATCAAATCTCAAGGGGTCGAAGCATTACATTTCTATACATATATGCACCATTTATTTTTACTAAACCAATGTCCTTACGCTATATGGTAAACCCAACTTTGATACTCCTAGTGTACATTTCACGAATGCAATGGAAGGTGCTACAAGTGTCAACAGCAAATTTCTAAGGGACGTGCGCATTGTACCATGCGAATTACCAACATAAATCAGACCTGTGACTTCACACAAACAAGCATGATTTGTTTAAAGTCTAAATATTTAACTACCACAAACCGTTTAATATAAAATGTATCATGTCAAATTCATTAATTTGTTGCCCCAACAGTTTGTAAACGTTAAACATTGGCTCCAAAAACACACACAGGTGCCAAGTATTATTAAACAGATGTTTCCTAACGATTTAAATTCCAACTGATGGTTGCTGTGTAACATTTCCATGAAAATGTCAGTGCAGTTCACTACGCGTGTAATTAACCTTATAAGCATTTCAGAACTGACCTTCAAGCCAATGAGTGACAGAAGTAGGCTTTGAACTCCTTTTCCATCCTCATATGTCAGGCTACTCTGGCAAACTTCAAATGGTCCACCCACAAGTGTCACTGCCTAAAAGTAAAAAAAAAACATAAAAATCGGTTACAAAGAGCACACTTCTGCTATACAAGAACAAGGTAGGTAGGTCGGTGTGGTCATTTTAACATGACGCTCAAATTTTAAATGGGATGTCCTTCAGCAAATTATAAAATTGTAAGCATGACAGCAGCACAACCGTTCCACCTTGGCCTTATCCCTGCTGTTGACGATGGTGATGCTCTCTCCGGACGAGTCTATCCCTGCCCGCCCGGCACGGCCAACCATCTGCTTGTACTGGCTTCGGCTTAGGAAGGAATTGCCAATGTAAGGGGACCGGAGGATCACCCTGAAGATGGGTGTGTGCATTGGGGCAGGAGGCAGAGGAGACAATCCACAAATTATCAATGAACAAGAAAAACATTCGAGCATAGTTGTGCCGCATAGCACTCCGATGTGCTTTTTGGCTGTACCGCTTGTTGTTTGGCATGACGTCCGACATGTCACCCTACGTGTTGACAGCTTCTTCGAGAACATCATGCCAAACACGCGGTCCAACCTTAAAAATAATCAGAGAGCTAGACTTTGTGCAAGGTGACTGCATACTTTTTATTGCGCTATGCCAATGGCATCTGCATGGCGAATGAGTATCTAGATTGGAGGCGCACATCTTTTATTTACACATTTTAAACATCTTTGGTGTGCCAATGATTGACGGCTAACTTCACAGCGGTTATGTATATATGTTGAACTTCTTTCGCGCCGTACGTAGCCAACCGTGCTAAATCGGAGATGCGGCTAATACAATGCACCGACTGAGGTGGCCACCTGCGTGCCGGTAGATTGACGCCAGCCGCCAGCGTGGAGGTGCACGTGAGCAGGCAGAGCGTGCCGGCCGAGTAGGCCTCCTCGATGAGGCGGCGCTCCTCGCCCGTGAGGCCGCTGTGGTGGTAGGCCAGGCCGTAGGGTACGGTGCGCCGCAGCACGGGACACAGCTCCCCGTCGGCCTGCAGCTCGGCCAGCAGCGCGCGCTTCTCCTCCTCGCGGTGCTGCAGGAACGTCCTGCGGAATGTGGGAACGCGCCGAAAAAGGACGGTTCGGCCGATGTTGCCACCTGCAAGCAGTTTCTCCTCTCCAGACGGTGTCATCGATAACTGCTGTCAGTGCCTGTGAAGTCCGTTTGTCAATCTACTGCTGGATGGGGGCCTGCCCACACCAGTGTGTGTCTAAAAGATGATTTGACCACACTTCACGCTTGTTCGATTGATAGGAGGCATAGATGAGGAAGCACAGCAGTACAGCTCAATTGTATTTTTCTGCACTGCCCACAACGTAGCCCCATAAAGCCATATGCCAACCTGTATTTGCGTGGTGTTCACCCATCCAAGCATTTTCTAGTTTCAGTTCTCCTTAGCTTGAGATGACAAAATTAGGTGCATTCTGAGCGATTATTATATTGGCATTGCACACAGTACACATTTAATAGTGCATAGTGGCACTATTTGGAGCATTAGCACAACGTCAAATAATCTAGAGTTAAGGTATTTGTGACAAGAACTTAACACTCTGAAAGATGCAATATTGACTGGTGTTGGTAATTGTTCCATGTCAACGCAGCTCGAAGACACTGAACAATGCTGCAGGCAGTCCTCCACTGCCCGTACTCGCGAACCCGTTTCCATGAAATCATTTTTTTACATCGACTTAAAACGTGAACTCGCAGTTGCAAACTGAACCGCAAAACTATTTTGTTCAGAAGAGTGATCCCCCCCCCCCCCCGAGATGTCACGAGTCGGTCTGGCGTGGGAGTGAGCGTTTGCGTGCGTGTGATAGTGCGAGTGTGGGGAGCGGGAGTGCAGCGGTTAGCGCGCTGCGATACGAAAGAGGCGACCCAAGTTCGATTCTCGCTCACAGCCAACAACCGGCACTTGGTGTGTCAACATCACCGCTGGGGAGACAAAGGCGGTGTCGGACGTAGTTTTGGCCACCCACCCCCTCATGTGCCAATACCGGTCTACATAAGTACTAAAATTCTAGATTTGAAGCTTTCGTGACTGCAAGGATCCATACTCTTCGGTTCTATTCGGTAAAGTCACGTAGGTAAAAAAATGAAACTACAAAAATCACAACGGCCACAACACAAGCGGCCTTTCATCAGGTGGAGGGACCAGACTGTCTCGAAGACTGCGCTGGAGTGAAACAGAGCCAAGCTCAGACCACGACCTTTAAGCTGTGTGAGAGGGATTAGGGTGCCTTGACAAAGGAATTAGCATAAAAAAATAGCATTTGATTGGCAGACTTAGTATGATGAAAGGTGCAGCTCAGTGATCGGCGACGGCAATGCAACCGCCTGTGCTGCGAAAGTTTGGGGTACCATTACTTGAAAAAATATACTGTACCAATGAAAATTTGTTTAATGTTTGGTTCAATTTAGAACATCTTTCCAATGGTTGCTTAATTTGAAACCATCTTCTCGGTTGAAGAGAACAAATCTCAGAGATTTGTTCACGAGGCAATTCAGATCGACAAACACAGACACAATTTCAACCGAGAAGATGGTTTCAAATTAAGCAACCATTGGACAGATGTTCTAAATCGAACCAAACATTAAACTAATTTTCATTGGTACAGTATATTTTTTCAAGTAATGGTACCCCAAACTTTCGCAGCACAGGCGGGTGCACTGCCGGTGCCGATCACTGAGCTGCACCTTTCATCATACTAAGTCCGCCAATCAAATGCTATTTTTTATGCTAATTCCTTTGTCAAGGCACCCTAATCCCTCTCACACAGCTTAAAGGTCGTGGTCTGAGCTTGGCTCTGTTTCACTCCAGCGCAGTCTTCGAGACAGTCTGGTCCCTTCACCTGATGAAAGGCCGCTTGTGTTGTGGCCGAAACGTCACGATTTTTGTTTTTATTTTTTTACCTACGTGACTTTACCGAATAGAACCAAAGAGTATAAGTGCTACTCCCTAACAGCACTTGCCTGTACAGTCTCTGTTAAGGCTATATGGGGGATTTTTGTCTTTGTGTGCACGTGTGTGAGGGAAACAGTAGTGCAACAGGTTAGCGCGCCGTGCCACCAACCTGCCTGTCAAAGTTTAATTCCCACTCATGACCAACACCAGTGACGATTATCTGAATGGGACCTGGGCCTCCCCTCGATCGCCTTAGCCTCAAATGAGTACCTGGTGGTGTGTAAACATTGTCACGAGGGAGACAAAGGCGGCCGGGCGTAGTTGTTGGCCAGCCACCCCCTCGTGTGCCGTTCCGAACTTCAAAGGTGCTCGCTAATGGCACTAGCCGAGCGTGGCTCTGGCCACTCACCCCCTCGTGTGCTGGCCTTCATACGCTGTGTTCGCGAACAGCACTTACTCCAACAGCCTATTAAGGCTACACGGGGGATCGTTGTCGTGTGTCTTTGTGCCCCCGTGTGTTTGTCTGTATGTATGTACGCACGTACGCACGTGCAGTGTGTGTGTGCACGCAAATGAACCTTATGGCGGGACCCCGGGGTCCCATAAGCCCCCAGCTCTCGCATAAACTGCGTTTGCGACGTCATTTTATGTCTGTTGAAGGCGACCGATACGGCAATCTATTCCTCTCGACGAGCTCTACGCGATGCGCTCAGCAAAATTTCAAAGTTTTATTTATGACTATGGCAATTTTGGCAACAATGGGTGCTTGGTGAAGAACGAGAGGATTGATTTCTGGTGGGTTGCTGCGTTGATGTGCGGTGGGGCAGTTGCCAAAAATAAATTACGATCTTTACTTCCGTTTATTCGGGACCCCGGGGTCCCGCCATAAGGTTCAATTGTGGTGACTCACTGCCCCCCCCGTCCGACTACAACCTAGGACTCAAGGTATATGAAAATAAAAACGTGTTTTTTTCTATTCATGTTACTTTCTTTTTTGTTTTATTTACAATACAGTACTTTTTACAGGATCACATACAAATGTACAGTATTTCTTATTCATTATGAGTTTAACAATGTTTTCCTTATTGTTGAACTCTAACACATTTCGCAACACTGACCTGATGGGCATTTAAATACAGCGCATTATTGTGTTCCGTTCTTATGAATCGTTAGACTTACGAACGGGTCACAGGAATGAATAAGGTTCGTAACCCAAGGACTGCCCCGTAAATTAAACTTTCCCTTGAGGATAATAACCAAAACAATTTTGTACAGATGGATGTGTAAAAAAATAATAATAAATGCACAACAGCCTTCAAAAATTTTCAGTTTAAACATGATGCATTTTTGCATTAGGTATTGAAAATATAGATTGTATTCAAGCAATCTCTCAAAACTCAAGTGTGCATGTTCAAGAGGTATACTCTGAAAGGTGTGAGAGTGCAATACAGAGGTACATACTTTGCCAGGTACTTGCAGATCATCTCTGCCACATTCTCACAGTTCTTCTTCGTGGGGCAGAAGACAAGACAGGAGTGAGCAGGGATGACTTCCGTCACCAGAGCCACGATGTGGTCTGGGTCCATCTTCAGCATTCCGCTTGAGTACTGTTGTCGCAGCGCACAGCCATGTGTGAGATCACTACCCTAAAATGCTGCTCTGCTTACATTCATCCCTGTACACTTGGGTCTGTGGGCCCTCAACCTTAAGTCTCTTGGCCACGACGTAGCACAGGGGTATGCAACCTGCGGCGCCTTGGGCCACATATGGAGTGTGGCGTGGTGACAATTGGCCAGTGAGAATCAGGGAATGCCAACGCTCGGCAAACAACCCGGCTACCGTGATGGCCCACCCCACAGGGACCTAGACGAATTGCAAAGTGATTCATTCTTGAACAAGGTTGCACAACCATTACATGTAGCCCATCATGAAATGTCAATGGACATAACTATGTATTTCACAATATAATCAATGTCATTGTGGAGAATATAAATAACAAAATTAATAAGCAATATCTCCTTTCTCTAGTCATCTCTCCAGATATATATTTCACAGGTTATTTAAACTTAAAAGCTGTTCAAAAGCTTACGTGCATATTTTACTTTCATTAATGTCTGTGCCCTTACCTTGTAGCTGAGCAGCCGGATAAAATCGAATTGTTCTTCTGGACACAAAGCCTTGTTGTTTACCCCGTAGATAGAGTCTCCAAGCTTTATGTACTCTCTTAGCTCGACCTGTCAGGATCATTGCAACCGTTTAGACTTTGTAAGAGGTGGAAAATGTGTACCTTTCACACATAAATTGTGCAACATTTTAATGAAAATTAAATTTTAAATAGTGTGATTCTTACCGGCCGAAAATCGTTTGTGTACAGCTCCGCATTCAGGAATTTTTGCAAGTCATTTATGTTGCTCAGAGTGGCACTCATGCCAATGATCTGAGTTGTTTCTGCAATTAAATCAAGCAAATGCAACAAGACACTGCATCACAGGTGAAACTTAAGCACAAAAACGATGCCTGGAAACAAGCAGCAATAATGTATGATAACTGCAGGATGAGAACAAACGTACTTGATGTATACTGAACTTTGGCCAGCGTCTGCTCCAGGGTGGCCCCACGGCTACCACCTTCACCCAACATGTGCAGCTAAATACCACACAACAAACCATTAGTACGTAATGAGACTGCAAATTGCAATGCACTTACGTTATAGCTCATGTGCAGCTGCTGGGTGGACTGTTGCATCGTGGGACTGAGGAAGATGGCGGTGGCTTGGGGATGCCCTCATCCAAAGTGGATTTATGATGGCTGACTATGACGATGATGAACATGAGCAAATAAGATGTATGTTTATACGAACATTAATACATAGCATTTGGTATGACGTTTACAGGATACCAATATTGGCTGTGATTAAATAATGAATGCTGCATACCTCATCCACAACGATCAGCCCAATCTCCTGCATACGCCCCTCCTCTAGAAGGGAGTTGACCAGACTGTGGGCTTTTTCAATGGTGGCGATATAGAGAGAATTCTTCTTTCGTTTTTTTCGCGGTGGCATGCGCCCCTTGCTTCCTGCGTATTCCTCTATGAATATTTCAAGCTCCACACCAAACACGGACAGGCTCCGCACCTGTTAGAGCAGCAGCAACATATCACAATTGTGTGACTTGTGGGAATCATTGATGAAAACGAGATTGTACTCTACAACCAAGTATCTGTTCCTAAACCAAGGTATAAATGAAGACGGAAATATTAAACGAGACCTCAAAATTCCCGGCTGCCTCAGTTGACTTATCTTGGAGGACCTTACAGTAATGCAAACACAGTGTCACCAATTAATGTTTTATATTAATGCCCACTTGATTATAATTGTTCATCTACTAATCACTCAAGGAGGAGCAAAATCACATTGAGTAGTACACTTCGCTATGAACTATGTTACCCGAGTTCATTCCCCAGCCATGGCTAACATCAGCTGCGAGTGATGTCTGCATCGCTTCTGGGCCCATCCTTCAACTACTTGCAGTGACTAGCATGGTGTAGTACGGTCCAAATAACCCCCATGAATGGTACAGCGTGGGATTAACAGAGCTGTAACTAATGCATATATTTAAAGAAAACAATAATCTCTTGCTTAACGTAACAATGTACACGAAAGATATTTAACGATTATATGAACAATGCATATGACCACATTTATACTGCTGTGGCGGTATGGAAATGCGCGTGTACAAAAAGCTCGTTACCTTTTCCTGGACAATGGCAACGTAGGGAAGAATGAGCAGAGCGTCTCTTCTCTTGCACAGTAGCTCCCTCAGCATAAGGATCTCTGCTACAAGCGTCTTGCCGCCACTTGTTGGTAAAGAGTAAATAAGATTCTTTCCTTGTCTCACGGAGTTCAAGGACAAGCAGTCGTGCTGCCAGGCTGTGGATAATATGTAAACATAAATATATATTTTTTATTAAACACACCAGAGAATCTGAAAAAAGTGAATGTGCCAATTATACTTTTCAAACGGGTGTTACAGATTACGAGAACAAAAACGCTGATTAAAATGATTAATTTCAGTGTGCAAGACCTCAAAAATGTTTCAACCATTACCTAATGTATGAGAAATTGGATTAGACTTGACAGTTAACATCACTACACTGGTGATAATGTGTAAACTTTAACAGTACGAATAAAAAAATCAGTGATATGCTGTTATAAAAAAACAAATTACACCATCTGATTTGGTAAAATACATCCATCAAAATTCCACCACGTACTATTAAATTACCATTTCTCCCACTAGAACAAAAATATGCTGGCATTATAAAATCGAGACAATTTGGTGTATGTTAGTGGGAAAAAAAGCACATATTACCGTACAGCTCTTTAATGCCACGCTGTTGTTGCAGAAGGCTGTGCACCTTTGTGGGAAGACCATAGAAAGGACCAATCTCAAACTGGCTGTCATTGGCACAAGTCTCCATGGCTATCTGCCTCTCGTGCGACAGTGCAGATTCCTGCAGGTGCCTGGTGCGCGACACCACAGGAGTGGCTGCCCTCGCGTTTCCCACGAGCGTATTTTTGATGCGATCTCTTATGCTCATGCCCTTATTGGCTACATCCGTGGCTACTTTTATATTTTCCAGTCCAAGCACATTTTTTGAAGAACTGTCAGCTCTTCCGCAAGCGATACGGTTAGCCGTTTCACTAAAGGCAGCATTGGTTTCATTTGCTTCCTCTTCCGAATGTGCAGAAGTACACGTGCGTTTTAATGGTTTTCTGGTAGTAATCGTACATTCTAAATCATCCTTTAAGATATCAGCCAATTTTATTTCATCCTCTGAATTACAAAAACGTGTTTTTGCATCAGCTTTAGAATTAGACGTTAATGTGTGAATGGTTTCATCAAGCTTTGGAAGTTTTGTATTTTGAGAACTGCCTCTGGGCAAGCTCTTAATGTCGTTTTCTACATTTTTTGTGTTAAAACCGTTGTGCAGCTCAGTCTGTACATTTTGTACGAAGTGTACAGAACCCACGCTGTCATTAAATTCTGTTCTCTTGATAGTCTTCTCTTTCCAGTCATTTGGCATAAATTGTTCCACATCGTGTGTTTTCATTTGACCAATATTGTCGCAGCCCAATGCACTCCCACTAGACAAAGGAGAGTGTTGCACAAGTTTCTTGGGAAGACAGTTTTGTGGTTCTGGGTCTTTCTGAGTAAGACTGAATGTCTGTGAACAATTGTCTTGGTTGTGCTGTTTTTCAAGTGCATCCATGAATGAGATGTCTCCTGCAATACTGTCATATTCCCCAAACATGTCATCGCTGCTGTCCTCACCATCACACTTCAAAGAGAAAAAGACATTTACATCAGTAATGACTATCATGGACAACTTCGAATTCAAATAAGTGTGAGTGTGTGGGGTGCGGCTATGTAAGGCGCCCTGATTTTTCATGACCCTATTACTTCCTCTCCACAGGTGACTGAATGTTGGGAAAGCAATGCAGAAAGTTAAATACATGTAAAGAGTGGATTGTTATAGGTGATGGACATGTAGAGGCTTTGAAATATAAATGCTTTCTAGATATTTTCCCACTTATTTTTATGGTTCTTGTGCTGTATCTATAAATGGAGCATCCTGTACTCGACTGTGATTTTTTTTCTTCGTCTTTTACCTCCGGCACCTCGCAGGTGTTGCCTGATGAGCCGAGCTCTTTCGTCATGATATCTGCGATAAAAACTTGCGACGGGAGCTCTTCGCGATCATCAGGAGGAACCATGAATTTCAAGTCCACACGAATGGGAATCCGTTGCCTCACTCGGATGTTTGCACGCCCACTTTGACTTTGATCCACACAGTGCACCACGACTTTGTCTTTGCTAGGTGTGAGACCCGATTTCTCTCTGCCGCGTTTCAGAGAATGAGACACTTTCCAAATCAGCATTCTCACGTCTCTGCAACTCAAACATTACCAAAACTGACAAGGGGCACACCACATTATTAATTACAAATACGAAATAAACTTTGTGCTGTTGTAAAAAGTGTTTCACAGTTCCAGCAATGTTTTACTGACACACAACCAATGATTTTCCATTGATCTAAATTCCATACCACAGCTTAAACTGCCAGTCATCTATAATTTGAATATGAATAGATTCAAGCTCCTGGCTAGAAATAAAGGGTATGAATTAGCTATCACCGCTAGTGTTGAGATTTAAACAGCGGCTGTCCATTGATTGGCCAGCAGAAAGCATACCATTTAAATTAATCCAATATACACACACACGTGAAATTAATGTTGCCATTAGTCAATCCAGTGTTGGATGAACCCCTTCCCCACGCTTTGATGGTCATTGGTGATCACTCCACTTCACCACGCTGGTCAATGTGGATTTGCGACGGACCTGTTCAGATGTCACTCGCCACTCGTGTTTAACGGTGCTTGGGTATAAAACTCAGGTCAGACTCACGATTTGATTTCACCTGATATAAGGCTCATTGAGCTAAGCAGCGATTTCACAGGACGAGCAGACACAGTGGCGGATACAGCACATTGCAGCAGGGAATGCGCAAACAAGCGTAAACATACAGGATTCTTTGGGTCTTTCGGTAAAGTTTTAAGTCAGGATTTAAGCGTAAACACAGAATCGGAATATGATGAGCTATATAGCTCTTTTTTTTCACAGATGTCCAGTAAACAAACATTATTCACACGAAATCTGCCAAAATGTATTGCAAACAGGACAAACAATAAATTGTGTTTTTTTTTAATACAAATCCAAACCAGTCCCAACAAAAAGTTCGCTGTGTTCCCAGCTAAGTGCAGTAACCGTTGCATTAGAGAATGTCAATAACAGGTCCCTGCAGGGTGGGCTGGTAGGAACATTGGCAAAGTAACGTCACGGTGCCTTCGAACTTCGCCTCGCAAATGGTATTCGGCTGTGGGCTGTGTGTGAATTTGCCACATCCCCAAAAGCGAAGTTCGCAAATGAGATAATGTGACTTCCAAATGTTGGGTGCAATAAGACATATCAAGTCTCTGCGCTGTCTATTGCTGATTTTCCACCCAACAGCACGAGATTTCACTTCGTTAAGTATTGAAAGGGGACGGACGGACACAATCTATTGCAGGCTGGTACACTCAGTTTACAACTTCGTTCCTACCAGTAAAAAATTAGCTCAACGCTGGTTTATATGATTTACGACTGGTTCTCGTGGAATTTCCACGAACGCCTCAAGACTGCTAGTTTTAACATGAGCAGCAGTGCATCTCTTTTAAGTATGACATGCTGACACACTGTCAATTGCTGTAACTTAACGAGGCAAATGTTGACTTAAAGCTTTCGTCACTGCAATAATTAATATTCTTTGGGTCTTTCGGTAAAGTCGCGTGGATAGGTTCAAAGAAAAGAACAAAAAAAACTACGTTTCAATCGTCTTCCTGAAGACGACCGCTTGTGTTGCGATCGAAACGTCGTAGTTTTTTTAAAAATGAATATTTTACTTGAACCTATCTACGCGACTTTACCGAAAGACCCAAATAACATTAACGAGGCAATCCAAAAAGAATAATCATGCAGCTCTTATTACAGTACTTTGGCTGTGTCCTGGGCCGTGAAGCTTCGTTATAAACTAAGAATATGAACACTTTAAGAACGGTTATGCCCGTCGTTACAGTGGCACTGCTGTATAGTGTGCATATATTTAGAGGCTTTTAAAATATTAATTTAATTTGATGACCCGTATCACTGTTTGCAAATGTGACTACTGTTGTATCCCGATCTATTTAGTTATCTCCAGCTTAAACAACACCAAACTCGCGTCAGACAAAGCTGCAAACACAACATAAACGCACACCCACAAGGTTTCGAAACGTTTATGCGTTACGGTTACGAGTTGCCCCTTGCGTAAAAATAAACATCCCACCTCGCGTGTGCTTCTCAGAGGCCGAAGACCCTACCCCGCACCCCCCCGGCTCGCCTGGAAGCCCCTACCGAGGGAGACGCCACCCAAGGCGGCCGCGCGCCGCCCGCTCACCGAGGGCGGGGTGGGGGGGGGGTGCACGCCGTCGTCGAGTAGTCGAATGCGGCAGCGGTCGTGACGACATTCGCCCTTCAATACGCTTCTTATTCGTTGTGTGTGCGCGCGAGCGTCATTGCGGCGCGTTTAAATAACGAGGCGCGGGATGGCGACAAATTTCGCCTTCGAGTTGACGAGCCGTAAATTGCGCAACAATTGCCCCGTGTTGTGCGTCGACGAGTTCCGTGAACGCGTTTGAAAAGGAGCTCGGTGATTGGGCGAATTTGGCAGCCAACCGGCGTCCAGGAATCGTGCGCACAACGTGCCACACGAGCGAGGTTGCAACAACAACGAACGACAATGATGGCACGCGAATTCGCAAGAACAAGAAGCCCTATGTCCCATACTCTTTGGTTCTATTCGGTAAAGTTGTTTTATTTATTTTTACCTACGTGACTTTACCGAATAGAACCAAAGAGTATGGATCCTTGCAGTCACGAAAGCTTTAAATCTGGAAGCCCTAGGTCGCTTACAATTGAGTTGCTTGGCAAAATTACGAACTGTTGGTGGTGGTGTGGCAGCAACTGGAAGGCCGGAATAGAAAGTGAAAAATAAAACCTACACATGAATGAGCACTCAAAAGCTTCACAGATATTTAATAATTCATCGCTGCATCGCTTGTTTCCTGGCAAATCTCGCCGACTGAAAACATATGCAGTGTAAACGAAACTAGGATTAATAAGATTTTTTTTTTCTGGATTAAGATCGTGTAAATATAAATGTCGTTAAACCCGCCACCACCTGAGTCAATAAGTAAGGTTTGTCACAAATAGAACATGCAATTTGAGTACGACCTTTCGCCAGTAATTACAACTAGCATCACCAGGCGACAGCCAGATTTGTGGAGAAATCCTCCTGTTTCGTTCTTAAAGAGGGGTAGAAACTCCAAATATTCACACACCGTACCAGGCTTTGCTCCAGCTCTTTTCAGATGGGAAGTAGGAGTGAAGGGCAATACTGCTGTTTTGTGGAGGGCCACGATCAGTGATTCACGCACGAGAGAGAACTTGGGTAAAAATCTATCGGGACATGTTGGTGGTACACGGTCCACCTCAGAACCGGCCGAGCTTGTTACTGCAACATATTTGTACGAAACATTTTAATATCTTGCTGTTTTATTTCATGAAAATGTATGTCTTAAATTGATTAATTATGGGCGCTACAGGCAAGAGCCAACAACGGTGTTCATTTAGCCACCGGTCAGAATTCAAAGCTCACTTCAGCTGTCGGGAATGTGTGTGGATGTTAATGTGCGATGGCATTTAAAGGATTTGTAGTTACATCAACATTAAATGACCTTTTTAGGCTGTTTATTTAAACTAAACTGACAAAGCAGGCAGGGCGTCAGAAGTCACTTTAATCTGTATTCCAGTCATGGCAAGAGGCGATTGAAAGTTAAAACAGCAGCAGCAGCTTTGGGCACGCTGAACGCAACGGTGAAAAACGTGCAACTGGAAAAATTCACAAACAGTAGAAATGCACCACGAGCAATAGAGAACAAAAAATTACAACATGCAAATCCGATTACGTGTGTTCGTTTATTTGCAGGATTATGCGTCAATACACGTTAACACAAAGCGGTGAAACGTATTGTAAGACATTTATCAAGACCGCATTTAAAAGAATATTGCAAACGGCTACTCCAAATGACGTGAGATGTGATATGCAGCATTGTATGCATTAATTTGGCAATGGCTACGTCTCCATACAAATGTTATTTAGCTTATCGATTTACACAATCCACAAGGTTTAAAATTCAATCTCTACAAATCAAACGCCCACTAATGCAACTTCAATTTGTGGAACATGTAACAATGGGCACTGCCAAATGAAGATATTAAATTAAGTCATGGTCTTGTTTTGTGTAGCTTGATACTCTTTACAACTACCAGTTTGAAAGAAATGTAAAGCTTCAGATATTTTCTCCCAAAATTGTTTAGAAAAACTGCCTGCTTCAAAGTTGTCCAGGCTTGCACACAAGTTGGATTCTAATCTGTCCACAAAATCTTGTTTCTGTTGAGATTAATAACTTTAAATTTCGTAAGCTACAGCACATGCTATGAAGGATTTATGTATGCAACATTTTCGTACGCATTACCAATGTTTAATAATACATGCAAGTGCGACGGATGCACTCCAAATGCTTATTGCTTACTTTAATGGAGACATAACCAACGTATCTACTTCGCATTGAAATCAATATGACCACCATTATCCACCAAACAGCAAGCCAAGAATACACATGACAAACCATTATGCATATTTAATTTCCCTCCATAGTTTGTGCACTTTTGCAAAAGTCAATCTTATACAGGGTGACAGACAAACCTATTTTTCAGATTACTCACATTTTGAGCAAAACATTAGTGCTATATAGTAACTTATCAACAATAACCAGTTACACATTTGAAATGTGAGTGTAGAACGATCTTGTGGCATGTGGAAGCTCTAGGAGATGAGGCGTGTGTGGAGCTGTTGCAGTTGGCTGGGAAGCAGGGTCAGCTTGTGAATTCTGCCCTGACCAGGAGGGCATGGGATGGTCACCTTACCAAGGTATACTGCATCTCCCTGCATCTCCGCATTTGCCTGTAAACAGGGATACAGTACACATGCTCACTTTAATTAGACGAAGTAATAAAATAGGCAATTAAATGTACGCGTCAACCAATATAATATTTTCACAATACAAAATAAAATGGCATAATAAATGTGCATCAGGTTATTTATTGCCTCACCATCAAAATATATGTAGCATACGTGTATCTAAAGCTAAATTGAAATCTATTTTAAAAAATACAGGTGACCCAGCCAATCATGCATCAACATCCTTTGATTGATCCACGACTGGATGAAAGCCTTCCAAAGCTGCCACCTTGCCTCGATCTCACGATGCAGCAATCCATCTACCTCCTCCATCTTCGTGGTCGCCACCCTCCCGACAATGTTCTTTCTTTTGGCTGCCACTCCATCATTAGCTTCAACCACAGAGTCTTCCCATCTAATGGTGCAGCCTGCCCAATCCCAATTTTCTGAGCAGTCAATATGTCTCAAACTTAAATCATTCATAGGTGGTAAACAGTTTATACATATTTAAGCATTACCTTGGAGAAGGCTGGAGAGGGGAAAGTGGTGAGGTCAGATTTAATCTGTGCACCAGGGTGCTGGGAAATGACCATCCGCCGCACCTCATCCTGCATGCAATCGGGCAAAAAGTTGTCAACATTTTAAGTTAAATGGTAATTAAATAGCCTTAAGCCACATACAAAGTGTTGCTTTACATGCATCTAAATGTTAAGGTTAATAATAACATACATTGTGAAATAAAATTGCATGAATGCTGACCAGAACAAAATCTACTATATCAATCAATTCATCAACCAAACTTGAGTTCCATTAAAATAGTAACCAAGATGTACATACCTTCAGTCTTTCCACATTGTCACTCATCTGCTTCAGCCGGGCTGTCTGCTCTAGCAACTGGTTAGCTGGACTTGCTTTCTCCACGGGTGGGATGGTACCTTCTCATCATAATAACACAACATATGACAAGCCATTTGAATCTAACGGCTATATAAAAATAACTTTTTAAAAACAAGTGTTTTTTTTTACATTCCAATAATGTTGTGGTAACAAAGAGGTAGTGGAGCAGTGGTTAGTGGACTATGCTTTAAAGCCCATGGCTAACATCAATAGCACCAGTTTTGAGTGATGTCTCAATCGGTCTGTTCCCAAATCTAAGCCCCTGTTACCAAGCTGGGCTGAGGAGGGCAGTAAATTATGGTCAAACTCCATGACTGAACAGCATGGAGAGATCGTCAACCATTAGTGGATTCACAATGAACTGTAAATTGTTATTGTTAAATAATGCACATCTGAATGAGTGATGGTATTAAAAAGGCACCTGGCTTTCGGTGTGAAATGTCCACCACACGAGCAGTGACACACATGTGCTGCAGTGATTCGAGCAGCTGGTTGGTCTTCCTGTTGAGGGCGAGTGTAGGGTCAGCGACCATACCTTCCTCCCCAGCCTGGGAGGGAACTGTTATCTTAGGGATGCGCAAGGGAGGCAGTGATGCCAGGTCCGATTTCATCTTCTCAGCCTTAGGACAACAATTCAAATGCACAGAAGTTAAACGGTATAATTCATTATATTCTTAGAATGCATGTAAAAAAATATTAGTCTATCCCATACATTGGCTATGGTGCGATAAAATAAAAACAATATTTCCATGAAAAGTGTGCAATTCCATTTGTGGATCTTGGATAAAAAGTACATTGCATTGTACCTTAAGGCGATTGTTTTCATTCTTTAGGTGTTTGAGGGCCATTT